TATATAGCCTGATCCATATTTTTCTCAAACCAAATAGTGTCCACCTTATTGGGCGCCGATAGTATAGTAAAGGCGATGCTACTAATTGGTACATATATACTTTAATTTCCGTGACAAATCATGCATATCGCTATTTGTAAAAATAGTTCTCCATAAATACAACTTCGTAGTGACCAACGTATAATACAGTAATTGGGCCCTGAGAACACAGTAATGGGGTCCCCAACATATAATTAATACACGCCCATCAGAATCGCATACTCTCATCTCATATCTTTGCAGTGATGGTGGAGACGAATTGAATATGCTTGCCCACATTGGTCTGCCCGGAGATCTTATAATGAGCCACACCAAGCTCCTCGGTGAAAGTATATAACTTGGTAGTGACCAAGAAAGAACTGAATTAGCGTAGCCTATATATACATACATACATACACACCACCATCTTTCTATATAGCTATCTCAACACACAAAAGCATGCATATGCAACCTCATCACGAGCTGCACTGCACCACCATATATATCATCTCTGCCAATGTATATATATATATAGTCCCCCCTGACGTTTTCATAGTGTGCCCGTGCGTCTAATTATGTATGTTAGTTGCTTCATTGACATGGAAAATGTTGGTCACGGTCTCAAGGATGATAGGCATGGGAGGTATCGATGAAATCTGTAAAGTGGGGTGCAACTCTAGAAGCAGCCGAGTACGCTAGCCTTGCAGCTCTTCAAGATAACCATGTTCTTGAAATATTGCTGTACCTAGCTACTATGAATTTTGGCAATATTCGAGAGCGAGTGATGAATACTGTACATGTACTGGTTTGTGAATGCATGAAACGGCCGGCAAATTGATCACCGGTAATTGTTTACGTACTTGTGTACATTTAAAAATGAGCTTTATCAAAATGCTCAATACAGCTGATCGATTGATGACATCAAAAGCTATAGCATGATTCACATTTTCTCAAACCAAATTGTTTGCACCTTATTGCGCGCGGTTAGTACAGTATAGGCGCTGCTACTAATCGGCACATATACATACTTTAATTTCTGTGATGAACCATACATATCAGTAAATTACTACTAGTAGTAAAAATGAAAATTAATAATAAACACTACGCAAACATGGCTGCAGAAAGGAAAGGTGAAGACATACGACATAAGTGGAAACACACAATTGCAGTAAGTGAAAACTATACGGTCACAGCTAGAATGACAACGATGAAAAGTCACTACTGAGATGTGAAAACTAATAGCATGATGCATGCTATACTCTTTCTACTACAATATCCATTTGTTATCACATTTCAAGTCCAATTATATATAATTGCCAACCTAATTGCATCAAGCAGTCGCATACTTGGGACACATACTGGTCCTCTCATATCTGCTTAGGCACTTCGGTTGCTTGTGATATAACTGTACTAACAGTAGGTTAACTGGGTACCACAGAAGGAGCACCAAGTGAGGGCGAACCCTAGGAGACCCGCCCCCTAGCGGCTCCTACCCTGCCGCCGCCGCCGGCCCCGGCGCCTGGCTCCCCCTTTCCCCCTCCCCTCCCCTCACTTCATCCCCTACCCCCTCCTCTCCCTGCGCTGGTGCGTCCACCGCGCGACCATCAGTGCGCATGGGGACTGGCGTGAACGCTCCCACCATCCGACCGTCGGAGTCATTGGCGGCCAGCGTGTGCGCGCCCACCGCGCAGCCGTCCCAGCCGCCATCCATGCAGGGTTCGCAGCGCCCCCCGGAGCTAGGCTCTCCGTTTAAGCCGCCGCCGGGGCTGGATCTGGCGGGCGCCCCATCCCCGCATCCTCTGGGCCTCGGATTTGGGAGATCCAGTGAAGACTCCTACGCCACCACCGGATTCGACGCCGCCGCCCCATCCCTATCGCCACTGCCGCCTCACGCTGTTCAGGCACAGCCGGTCCCCTCCTCCCCCCGCCATGGTGCTCGTGGGGCGGCCACGCCAACCGCGGGGCCTGCTCCCCCAGCTGCACAGCCGGCACCTTCGGCCCAGTGCCCGCCCGTACAGTAGTCCAGCGGGCCCGGATCTGAGGACGTTCGGCCTGCCACCGGGGGAACCCCCTTCGCCACGCCAGAGACGTAGCCGATGGAGGACGAGTCGCTGGTCGTCATCGAGGATGTCTTGGAAGATGAGGACGAGGATGAAGACGATGGCGACGAAGTGCCTCCAACGATGGCTGCACAGACTCCCTCCCCGTCGCCCGGCGCCGCAGATGTCGGGCCCCGCAGCCGTTGGCACCTCCCTTAGCGCGGACGCCGGAGTCGAGATGGGCGCCCCCTGGATGCGTGCGGTCTCCACGAGTAGGAGCTCCTCCCTGTCACCTCTCGCCACACCCTTCTTCCCAGCAAAGTAGTCTGCGGATAGATCTAAGACTCTGGCTACTCCAATTTTGACTCCACGTTCTCTGCTGCCCAGTCGCAGTACCTAGAAGCCTCTCGCCGGGCAATCGAGGTGACGGCCTCTCCCGTGCCTGTAGCGCCGTTAGAGGTGGAGAGCTCTGCCTCACGTCCGGTCGTCATCACCACGAAGAGGCGGCGTCATCGTCGTCGAGCCAGGACTAGGGACATCGACGGTCCTCCAGCGGTGTCCCCACACCCGGCCGCTAGGGTGCCCACGCACCAGCGGCTCGTCCCATAGCCGTCATGCGTGTGCTCGTGCACCAGCGCCTCGACCCACGGCGTAGGGCACCCATCGTCATTGTCGTGGGTTCATGACGAACGCCAGGCGACCTCCGATGCCACCGCGCGTCGATCCGGCAGATGCACTTCCTCGACGCCACATTCCTTTAGCGGACGCGCCTATCGACGCAGACGGCTTCATGCTTGTTCAAAGCCATCGGCGCAGGCGCCGCCATGCCCCGTCTCACCCTCGTCGTTAGCGGCTGGTACCGCCTTCGCTCGTCGGTCTCTACTTCAACTGTCTGGCTAGGGACCATATCGCCGCCCGGTGCACCATCCAGCAGCACGACGTCGAAGACCGCGCCTTGGAGGCTCCCGCACCCGGTCCGAGGAGAGGCGCCGGGGCGAGCGACCATGCTTGCAGTTTGTCGCCCGGTGCTCTGTGCTGCAGCAGAAAAGGCAGCGGGATGGGACGGTGCACCATAGCGAAGATGACGACAACGGCGGCGACGGCCAGGACGCTGGCGGCGCACCGGAGCCGTAGCTTGAGCCTATGTGAGACCCAACTTTCCAGCAAGTGCAACCTATCATTGTCGGAGAGATTGTCTGTCCAGCCCAACCGGGTATCGATCCTTCATCATCTGGGCCACGCAGGCAGTGCCTACTGCTGAAGTTGGCGCAGCATCACCAGCCCTCGTCACGTCCGGTGTCGTCTTCCCCTACCAGTCACTCGACGCCTCCCATGAGTTTGAATTTCAAATTCTGTTGCGGCCTCCACCACCGCTTCCATGGATGGATCCGATGCTTTGTGTCTCTGACTTGGATGCCACTGTTTGCGCACAGTCAAAGTTCGCGGCCTTGGGGCACCTGCTTCTGGTCTTGGAGCCGAACATATGGCGCAGCAAAGTAGCCCTCCGCAGGCGTCCTAGGCATCGGGGCTGCTAGCTAACGAGCAAGCACAGCATAAGCAGCTCTCTGTCGTGGCCTCCAACGATGCCCACGAAGGGCAGCCTGCTCAGCCCACTGACAACGGCCCATCAATGCTGGTACATGGGACGGACCCCCCTCCTACTTCTGTTGTAGCCTCGCCTTCAGTCCAACCCACCTCTGTAGAGGAGGTCATCACCTGTCTAAAGCTGCCGCTCGAGAAGCCGCTGATCCAGTCACCGCCGTGCCTTCTTGTCTCGCACTTGCGAGTCGAGAACCTGGTGCCGTGCTGCAGTGATAGACTTGCTACCAAGTCTGTCTACCGCGACCCGAACCCAGAGAAGCAAGCCAAGTGGGTCATGCTCAGCAACTGGCAGCCATCGGCGAGTGCCCCACGGTTAGCGCTGGCAACACCTGACGCGACCATCGCCACTCGGTTCCACGAGATGTTCCAAGAGCCGTTGTCGTCGTCCTAGTGCGCGGCAATGCGGGAGTTGTTCCCCATGGCTAGTGCTCGCGGGAGGCGGGTAGCGACGTAGGCATCTTTAGCGAAGATTCGCCCAACGTCGCAAGCTCTTCCCCTGTTCGATTGAACTTATCATCCTGTGGTACAATATTTTTCTCCCACAACAAATCAGCTCCATCAGCCGAACAAGGCAATTGCCTTTTGTTCGTGTTCAACCCATCGCTCATGGCATCTTGTCGTGATGTGATGTTGGACGTGTAAAACTTCTACCTTCTTCTTAATGAAGCACGTGCTATGCACATTCAAGAAAAAAAACATAACTGTACTATTTTCAGCCAGTCTTTTTCTTTTGCAGGGATGGTGGACACGAAAATTGAATATGCTTGCCCACATTTGAATAGCTCCGCTTTAGAGAAGTATATATAATTGCATTGGTGAAAATGAACGAAAAACTCAAGCGTAACTCCTCCTGGGACCTGCTGTAGCATTTATATTATATACATATAGACCACCATCTCGCTACATGGCAATCTCAGCTCAAAATACAAAAGCATCCATGCATATCCCTTCCTAGCTCGCAATATTGGTGTATCTAGCTAGCTACTAGGAATTTTAAGAATATTTGGGAGTAGCAAGTGTTGAATACTGTACATGAACATGTTTCTGAATGCATGAAACGGCTTAACTGACTGGTAATTCTGTACCCACTTGTGTGCATTTCGAACAGAAACTTCATGAAATAAAAAAGAAACTTCGAAAATTTCGACTGATGATCGACATCAAAAGCTAGCACGATTCATATTTACCTCAAACCAAAGTGTCCACTTTAATTTATTGCGCGCAGCTAGTATACCAAACGCGGCGCTGCTACTAATCTCGTTACATATATATATAAATACTGTAATTTCCGTGAGAAATCATGCATAATATCGTATTCAGTACTAGAAAAAATAGTAAAAGCTAAGCGAAAATGGCTGCATAAACATAAGCCACCACGAGAGGCAGCACGACGTTGGTGACGCGCCCAAGCCCTGCCGCCGCCGCCGCCGCCCCCCAGTAGAGGGGCCCACTGTATCCATACGTTCCGGGTCCAAACCCGCCAGGCCCGCCGAACCAGCCGTATCCTCCGCCGCCGCAGCACTCGTCGCCGGGGCCGCCGAAGCCGAGGCCCCCGTTGCTGCCGAACCCGAGGCTGGCCCCGCTAGGCAGCTCGTCGGGCGTCGGCACTGGCAGCGCCCCCGCCACCTCCACCGCAGGCAGGTACGGCTCGCCGCCGCCATGCGGTGTCGGCAGGTACGGCTCGCCGCCGGCGCCGGCCCCGGCGCCCGGCAGCGGGAACTTCTTTGGAGTCGTGGCGCCGGCGGCGGCTGTTGCGGTTTCAGACGCCGCCGCTGCAGGTGTCCCCGGTTGGAGCGCCGCTGCTCCTGCGGCGGCGGATGACGGCGACGATGCAGCTGGCAGCGTGGCGGTGGTGGTCGGGCCTGCAGGCAGCACATTTTATTTGTATTAGTCGTCGGCGAGGTTGCAGAACTGCAGAAGCAGTCGAGTCAGCTGGTGACGGTACTTGCCTGCGGCACCTATGCTCAGCTGCGCCGACGACACTGACGCCGGCTGCACGGTGTGATCAGCCATGGCCGCCGGCAGAAGCACGCATGACGACGTCCACAACGCCATGGCGAGGAGGAGGAGGCTCGACGAGCGGACGAGCTTGGCAGCCATTACGGTGGCAAGCTAGGACTTCCACCAGCTGGACTGATGATGATCGAAGAAGTAGATGGACGACATTTTTGTACGTGACATGGTTTATATGGTCTGAAAAAGGAACAAGTCTGGCCGGGTAGAGGAGAAAGCAAGGATAGACTGCGAGCATTACGTATGTAGTAGCAGTAGCAGGGGTGGGTAGGCAGATGCATCTAATTCCTTCCTTTCCTTTGATCAGCGAGTCATATCCGGCAAGTCCACTGGTTGGTGGACCAACGACCAACCACAGTCTCCTTTTTGTGCAGATGTTGAAGTTGGAACTACTGGGCCTCCATGGTTAATAGCGGGCTTGGGCCGCCTAAAAATTACTGATGGGTTAGCTGAATTATTGATAGGCTAGCTGCGACGCATCAGTTTCGTTATGGGCCTCGCCAAGCTGTGCTGAGGGAGAAAGCAAACCTGCATGTCGCAGCATGCATGGACCTAACGGAAAGACTAAATGTGAAGCAAAGCTGGATCGATGGACATTAGAGAAGGATACCATTTGGACAAAAAGACAATTTTATTTAACAAGTGCAATGCAGCCTCTCCAAGTGCACGAGTTTAATGCTACCCCTGAAAGTGAGAAGGTACATCATATACGATATACCATGGCTCTCGATATAAAGTGACCCCCAAGGCTCATTTAGATCAAACATTGGCCATGTCTGCGTTGAAGAGGGCAAGAGGCATAGGATTTTGATAGTTCTAAGTTAAATTAGGATGGTGATTGACAAAAAGTGTAACTGATTAATATGGTCTTTTGTAGGTAGGTAGGTAGATACGCCTGGGAGGTATCAGGCATCACCAAATATGAAGCTGCTGTAAAGTTTGTGCACCTGCTTCTGGAGGTCATGTGAGTTTATTTATAGAGTACTCAAGAATAGCCCTTGGCGTGGCAATATAAGGCAAGACTCAATCTGAGATTTATTGTTACAGTTACCCCAATATACAATATGCTAATGCGTACAAAGAATATTTACCATCTATGAATATCAAGCAATCTCGGATATTTGTCATGCTAATTTAGATGATTGATTACATGATGGGAAGCTTCTGTTTACATTGTCCGGTGATTTACATAAGTGAGGAACATTCCAAACACTCCCTCTCATTCACAAGGTGCTCATGTTGAGAATGTGTTTGAACTGTTCGAGTAGCATATAATAGACAGGGGCTTTGTAAACCCATCAGCAGCTTGGTCATGTGTAGATATGAGTTTGATGTCCAATAGTTTGTTGGCTACTCTTTCACGAACAAAGTTATAGTGCACTTCAACTCGTGAACAATGAGACGTATGTGGTGACCTCATCCATCCCATGATATATATGTATCTTGTTTATCCTTTGTGCACATATATATAAGGAGCAGTTGTGCTTGTTCATGGATTCCTTCGTAGGAGTGAGTGTGCTTTCATATATGTAAACTTCTATATTTATACTGTGTTTCGTGTGCTGACCCTGCTGGCCTCCTCAAAATAATTCCTACCTACGCACAAATTAAATACATGCATGGTGAGCTAAAGCATGTTCTAGGGCCGGATGCAACTATTGCCCATAGTTGTGGATCCTCATGGTCAGCTAACTGCAATATTGCAATGTGGCATCCATGAGAACAACATTAATTGCGAAGGTACATCATATATCGTGGCATTCTATATAATGAAGAAGATATAAGGCTAGCAAGATCAAAGCTTGACCAAGCTATCTACCAGAGGAAGAAAATCTGCAGGTTGCAACATGGACCTCCTAATTTGTGTAGATGATGAAAAGGAAATGTTTTGATCAGACTTCGCGTCCACTTCTTCAGAAAAATCAGACTAACTTACTACTGATGGAAATGCAAATTATTCCTCGAATTAAGAAATCCACATTTCACACAAACGGCCTAAACTGAAACCCAATTCAGAGACGATGAAATGACCATATAATTACGTAGCAAAAGAACTAAGCACAAAGCTGTTGTCTCAAGGATCTGTCCGGCACACCAAAAAGACGATCTCGTTTTGATGATCATACCGCTCTAGCTGTGCCTGAAGGCGAAGCCAGTGTGTCACCCTTGATAATATTTGACAGAGTTATGGGTCAGCATTAATTAAATAACAACGTTTCCTGTGAGGCATAGTGACCAACAAACATCAGCATCTACAGTGAGGAAAAATAATAAAAAGCAATGAACTAGTATGAAATAATAAAAGGAGTCGGACATTAAAACTAATGCTATCTGAACATAAACTCGTCGATATTGAAATCTTAGGAACTTCAAACCACATAAACTGGGTATCAAACAATTGCTAGGAGGCCAGGCACAACCACAATATAAGTGATGCGATGAAATATCCATACATGTAAAGCAGATATGACCTAACATGTAGGCAAAATTGCCAAATAAGGACACGAAAAATGACCTCCCTTTGCCAGTGGACACTGAAAATAGTGACATTTGCCGGAGAACACTTTGCTTCATCTTAAATTTGCTGGTGGAGACCACGCACAATAAAATATTTATTTATGGCTTTGCAGGAGAGAGAAGAGCAGTGAAATATTACTTTTGCCCCCCCCCTGCTTGTTTCTTCTTCCTCTCTCCCTGTTCTTTTCTCTCCTGATGCCTGGTGCCCAGCCGGCTCGCCCCCAGTCGCGTGTCCACAAGGCACGGAGCTGCAGAGCATGCGGGCCACCCGTGCCCTGTGCTCGCCTAGCTGGCTATGCAGCCACCACCTTGGCCGGCAACGCCTAGCTCTCCTAGACGCAGAGAAGCGAGGGCCTATGGATGGAGGCGACCTCATCGATACCCTGATATATTTATCGTGTTTGTCCTATGTGCACATATAAGGGGCAGTTGTGCTTGTGCATGAATTCTTTCGTAGAAGTGAGAGGGCTTTCGTATATGTAAACTTCTGTATTTACACTACTACAGAACTGACATCTAGTCCCGGTTGGGAATTGGTTTTAGTCCCGGTTTTCCAACCGGGACTAGCGTTCCGAGACTAAAGGTGGTGTTCTTTAGTCCCGGTTTGCCACAACCGGGACTAAAGATCCTCCCAGCTTAAAAAAAATAATGCCTCCCACCGCTGCGCCCTATGAGATTCAAACTCAAGACCTCATGCACTGCCTCGCGCGAGCTTACCACCCCACCTACACAACACATCTAACAATGGATGGGATGCTTTCCTTTTGAACTAACCCATCGGGGGACCTTTAGTCCCGGTTGGTGTTACCAACCGGGATTAAAGGGTCCTTTAGTCCGGGTTGGTGTTACTAACCGGGACTAAATGGTCTACCTTTAGTCCCGGTTGGTATTAACAACCGGGACTAAATGTTGGAGGACTTTTAGTCCCGGTTGGTGGTTCCAACCGGGAGTAAAGGAACATTTAGTCCCAGTTGGTATTACCAACCGGGACTAAAGGAACCTTTGGTCCCGGGGGCAAAAAATGTCGAGACTAATGCTAAATTGGGATATCGTTCTAAAGTCTGTTCTCTAGTAGTGTTATATTGTGCTTCCTGTGGTGGCCCCTTCAAAAGAATTCCTGCCTATAGTAGCTATACTCACATATTAAATACACGGTGAGCTAAAGCATGTTTTATAGGGCTGGGTGCAACTATTGCCCCTAGTTGTGTGTCCTCTTGGTCAGCTGCATGCAACATTGCAACGTGTGGCATCCATGAGAATGACTTTAATTGGCGAAGGTACATCTTATAGCATGGCGGCACTGTATACAATGAAGGAGACATAAGGCTGGCTAGCTAAAAGCTCGGCCAGGGCTACCACCTGGAAATGGGATGAGGTTGTTGCAGTGCCTTGGTAGCATAGAGAGAAAAGGTAACAACAACCAAAAGTAGAACGGATGGTGTTGGTATAGGTTTGGGAGGCATCAGGCATCGTGAATTCTGCAATAACAAGAGAGAATGCCGCCGCGCTTGCCTACTGCTCTAAGGAAGTTCATGTCTGCTAGCCTGTGCACCCACGCTGCACAGTGAAATCCGACACCCGAGTGATTGGTTGATATATACAGGCACCACGGATGCCTCATAGCTTGGATGGACTGTTACACATTGGTGGGACGGCTTGCAATTTCATGATGGGGCGCACCAAGATACCTATGGGAGGTAGAAAATCTACAGGTTGCAAAACAGACATTTTAATTTATATATTTACTGATATATGCCCAAGCGTTACAACGGGGCCACAATTTTATCCTTGCCTACGGCAACGAATTTGATCATTTTTAGAAGATAATAAAAGGTGAATAAACGATTTTGTGTTGTAACCCTAAGCTGTTTCCAAATCCACTCAAGCCTTCTCCTTTATTTTTTTTGTGAATTACACAAGTATAGATGCAGACACTCAGCATTCACGCGCACTCACCGCTATGAATACACGTACGCAAACCCTTCTCCTTTATGTCTCTTTAGTTATTTATCAACTGGAACCATATTATCTTTTTTCAATGGGTTCCATGTTGCAGAGAATCTCTAAAAATACATCATTACAATTTAAGCGAAAAGGAAGAACACGATTCCTGAACCAATTGAATGAATTTCTAAATGAAAACTGTAAAACATACCAATCGATGGCGTGGAGCCAATCGACGATGGGGGCTTGTGTGGAGGTGGTCGCAGTCTTTTTTTTTTTTGTTTCTGTAATTTCTAGCGATGAGCCACGTCGGTGTGGATAAGCCTAGCCTGTCATCGGCCTGAACTCGGCAGGGTCCTGCCACTCTGCGGGTCCCCGTGGATGTCGTACGCGTTCATGATCAGCAGCATGCCGCGGGGCATGTCGTAGCCGCCCACCTTGCTCGGCAGTGTCCTCCCTCACCGCAGGCCCTTGTGGATGGAGTATGCGGTCACCATCAGCAGCGTGCCGCATGGGCACATCGCAGCTGCCGACCTTGCAGTCTACGGATCACTTGTGCAGTCTTGCGGCAGGAGCAGCGGAGCGACCAGGTACAAGCGCAGGATCTTGTTGATGACGCCGCAGTG